TTTTAAGTGGCCATCAGGCTGTAAGTAAAATTGTTAGAGCCTTTTAACATAACCCCCCAAAAAATCTTGAATTTGATGTTATATAAAAAATCTAAAGCTTTGATTTCTGACAGTGAGACCTATTTTATCTCTGGTCTCACAGAAAGCAATGACTAATAGGAAAGTGCAAGCATCAAGACTCATCATTATCTGCCTTTCACAAACAATCAGAGAATTTAAAACAAAGCCTTGGTTGTTACAACATTATTTAACATTTCAACACTACTAAGTGTACTGAAAGGGAAAAATGATTCACAGGAACTGACACTGTAGAAAGAAATTAAATCTTAGCAATGCCTCTGCTCAAAACTTTCTTATCGTACAGTCCTAAAACCATAAGATTTATGTTTGAAACTTTAGACTTCCTGTAAAAAGTGAAATATAAGATAGTAGATTACCCACCCAGATGCTATAAACTGTGCCAATGGCAATGCCACTTATAGTACAGAGAAGAAATGAAGCACATTAAGGTAGCAGTATTCTGGTAAAATAAAATCTCAGTTTAGAAAGTTGAAGTCTTAAAATTACCAATTAATAAAACTATCAAATGTCTGAAACAACTCTTTCCCCTCCTGAGCGCAAAACGACCAGCTATTAAGATCACAATCTCCCAAATATGTAAGGTATTCCTACGGTCTCACTATAGCAATAACTGAGCATCTCTCTATTCTTGCTTTTTCTCTGCAGTATGAGTCCAACTCTTCTCCAAAATGGGATTCAGTGCCCATTTCTAGAGGTTCCAGAAATGTGCTGCTCTTCCTCTGAATGTGCTTCTTCTGTTTGAATAATCCAGTTCATTTTATTTCACTGATGAAAAAGGAGAAAAGACTTTCCTACAAAACCCTGAAAATACAATATTCCCTCAATATACTAATGAAGAAGGTAATATGCAAAATGCAAATACGTAGATCAGAAGATAATTTAATTAAGTGGTATAGCTCAAATTTCAAACTGCTGATCTAGGTTTTACATGAAGAAAATAAAATAAAACATACAGTCCCTAGCACTTTTACCATCTCATGTGATATGAAGAGTCTTTGGATAGAAGGAGAAAGAATAGATGCTTCCAGTAAGTATCAGAGCACACACATTTGTCTCATTTTTTTTCTGACTTTTTAAATTTCCCAGAGGTAAAATTTTCTATTAGTTAGTGGTGGAAAATCCATATAATTTTGCCATATAGAATTGTGAATTTTTGCTGTTTGGCTAATTCAGCACAAACCTCAATTTAATATAGTTTTTTCCACAATCCACAGTAAAAAAAAGAAAAAGCCTCCCACATTAGAGAAATTCTATATGTATTGTAACAACCGACCAACTTGAAACGTGCACATTTAAGACTGTAATTCCATTTCAAGGTTTCAGTGACATTGATAAATCACTCAGGCTTTGCTCACTCAATTTGTGTCACCAGAATCTCTCGGTGGAATCACAGTCCTTCCACATACTGGTGAGTACACAGTGCTTTATTCGTTACATTACAGCATGTACTTAATTTAAACAAAAATTAGTCCTTGAGGGACAATTTCAAACTCACAGCAAAGCCTACGCAGTGTGCGTTACTGTACAAAATCACTCCTCTCCATTTTCTGAAAGCTCCCGGCTTTTCTTCATGTCTCACTATGCCCCAGAGGTGTGTTATCTCACTGTGGCATGACTGGCTCTGTCTTACTGCTTAGCTGCACTACCCTAGATTTATCTGTTTACTGGTTACTATTTGGATTCAGATATCCACTTATTTGGGACTGGTGTGAGGAGCCCAGGTTCCTCTTTATTGCATGCTATTGTGTTCCTGTCTTTTCTTATAAAAGGACTTGTATGAATGGTGTCAGGAGAACTCTAACAGTTAAATATTCATTAGCATTTAGAAAAGTACCCTCTTTTCTCCTACTATGGATATTAAATTAGCTGTTATTACTCAGTAATAGGTAAGCAGCTGTTACTTCCCATCAATACTAAGTAAATCACTTTATTAAAATGTATTCAGATCTGTTTTTATTGTATCCATATGAACTTGCTGGTTCCTATGGGCTTGGGAGGATTCATTACTGAGAAAGTACATAGTCATCAAAATGTCTGACACCTTTGAAATGGGATTCAGGAAACTCCTCTATTCACTGGAAAACAACCACGTTATTCCCAAAGTAGAGATGAATACACTGAGATTAACCCTCTGGTAAATATTTAATCACAAATGGTTTTATATTACAATATGTGGATCCGTTTTTTTGTGTGTGTTAATACATAAGAAAGTGCCTCCATCTTCATTTAAGCTGTACTGAAATGCAGGTTTGGGATTTTTAAAAAATAGCTGATGTTTCTAAAAGGTGTTACAGCAATAGCTCTGTAGGCTGCAGTCCTCTGACAATATGCAGCCCATACAGTATATGCGTATATGGAGAATAGGGAGTATAGGCAGAGTAATACAAGGCAGACAGCAGCCGTGCAAACTTGCCCATATGTTGTGGTTCACGAAGATCACTTCCAAGTTACAATAATTCCAAGAGCTGTAAGGAAATATCCCTCTTCTAGAGCAAAAAAGGCTTTGTCATGCTTCAGTAAGTCATGGGATAAAATAATGATACATGAATCCCCAACCTGTGGAAACAGCTGTTTTGTGGCCACAATTCTTGGGGGAAGAGATTTCAGGAATATTCTTACTTCTGGATTTCTGATTCCAGAAACATGTGGCCCAAACTGGCAATGGCACCCTCCAGAATCTTGCATCACTCACCTACACATCACCTCCACCCATCTCTGCCTCCACAGCAGGGTAGCCAAAAGCAGACTTACTGGGGGCAGAACATCTGCCTGAACATCTCCTAATCCCGTCCAGAAGGTCATAAAGTTGATTCGCAAAAAAATTGGTCCAACAAGGCGCTGAGCAGGGTCTCCATCCTTTTCCCTGCTGTCCAGATGAACTAGTCTGCACGTATTAGTATTCACTGACATGCAGATGTTTAGGGCTGTAGCTGTTTGTCTCTCCTGCTGCCAGGGCATGCTCCCTTCTGTTAATTTAGTTGGTGAAGCTGAAGGTCATCACGTTCATGCCAAAGCAGTGCAGCAGCCACCCTGAAGCTACACCTATGCCCAGCCTCCTACCACCTCAGTCCTGAGCTGCGTCCTGACCACTGCCTCAGCTTTCCTTGAATGCCTGCCCCAAACAATGAACCTAACAGGCTTTGGAGCCTCTCCCCTAAAACTATTCCCATATGTTGTTATATTTGCATCTGCAAAGGTTTTAGGTGCATGGAGGAGGTTTTTGATTATCTTGGTGTTTCTTGCTGCATTTTAAGAACATTATTTCTTGTCCTGTCATTCAGTGTAGACAAAACAGTTTATATTCTTCCTTGCACTATCTGCACTAAAAGACTGTATTTATGTTCCTTTCAGACTTGTCTTTTTAAAGCTAAATGATCCAAAACATTTTAATAATTGCACATTCATCAAGTGTTCTAGATCACACAAAGGAATGAATACTGCAGTGTTTATAGCTTATTATAAATCTTTATATCTTGGGTTTGTTTATTTTTTGTTCTTTTTCCCCTAAGACAATGACATCATGGAATTGTGTTCAGCTTAAAGACCACATCTTTGTATAATTGTTTGTCCTACCAGTTAATCCCTGCTCTCTCTGGGCAGCTGATTATTTCTGCTTATATGTAATTACCTTGCTTTTCTCTCTATTGAATTCCGTCTTACTTTTTTTTCCCAGAACACTTTTTCATTTTGCCAAGATCTTTTTTTAATTTTACTTGTCCAGCTAGGTTCTATTTGAAACTACCACACTTCATATTCAACAGTTTGGAGTGTGAATGGAAACTTCAGACATGACTTGATCCAGAGTGGACCTTTACAGTATCTGCAGTGAATGTTTTCATTTTGACAGGTTTGCACAACCCCACAAGAATGTTGTTTATACAGTGCTTCCCTTGCTTATCCAGAATAATGGAGAATGAGGCCATCAAAAGACAAAATACACAATCTCTGTTGCTGGTCCCCAGCCCACAAGCAGAGTAGCGAGATTGCCATTCTAGACTCAGTGCCCTCTCTTTTACCCAGGGAAGCACAAGCTGACACCAGGAAGTCTTTCCTTTCCCTGAACATGAGTGGAAGTGCCAACTACTGACTTGCACTGTTATTTTTTTGTATTTTATTTCACACAGGAACAGGCTGTGGGAGAGCCAGAGCTAATTATGGGTAAGGAATGGAGAAGTCACCATCTGGGGATGATTTTCAGACACTGTTTTGGTGTAGGTAAACAGTAAGAACTGGACATGGCTCCTATTTGATTGAGCCTTGAAGATGTACAGTTTCATGGACTTTTATTGACCTGTATTTCAGAAAGCCCTTGAATTTGGGCCAGTCATGTTGTAGCATTGGTAATTAAGTGTGCGAAAACTATTTTAAAAAAAGTACCCTATATAACAATATGTATATCTTAAATGAATGAACTTCTGTAAGCTTTAAGTTACACCGAAATACAACTTACCTTTTGAGTAAGTAAAGCCTGAACAACCTGATTAGCTACCTGAAAGAAATAGATAATATAGTTTAAGTACATGATCATATGTGTTTTTGCATAACATTACCTTCTTCTGTGGCTTTATACTCCATTTTCCATCTAAAACCACCATGAAACCTACTATTTTCATTATTTACTAGCATTTTCATCAGGTTATACTAGAAAGAATATATGAAATGCCAGTCATTACTTCTGTGCTAGTCTTTATAAACAAACATCTATCAATTTTAGTGTGACATGATGGACATTTCCTTAACTTCTGTCATCCTTTCTTTAAACTAGATTAAAACTTCACAGGTTTATATGCAGCTGTTGTGCATCAGCATGGATTGACTTGCATTCACTAGAGCTGATTTTTACCAGCTGAGGAGTCCTGAATGTTTTCATGAAGTTTAATTGCTTCTTGATTCAATATTGACAAAATGGTACATCTATCATGACAAGCAGAAACCATAAAGAGCCACAGAAAATTAAAGTACCTACTGTCATCAAAATGTGGTTGGAAGGCATTCACACCACACAGTATAATTGACTTGAATGACATTACACACCATTGATTAGTGGAACTATATATTCAATGGGGAATTGTTGAAGTTATTTATATTATACACCCTTTCTAATTTATATTTACCAGCAGGCATGGGGGGAAGAAGGAGGAATGGAAAGAAGGGCCGAGGTAAGATTTTCTGTTGATGATGTCTAACTTGCAAGTTATGTTTTCAGTGTAATATAAGAGTTGAAGCTAATTCATTTCTTCAAAAGATTCAGTGCCATTTGATCTAAAAGGTACCTTAGATTCGTACTCTCACAAAATTGCCTAGTATCAGTCTTTTCCTCTGAGCTGGTCCCTAAGTTAAGGCAGCCTGTGGAACAATGGTCCCATAAAATTGCTCTATACATGATTTAACAGAAGACAGACTAATATTAGAACAGTAATAAGCAACAGAAGTAAATATGTTGCAGTTTTGAAAAACCATGTGCCTTGCCCTATGGGCTTTCACAATCTACATCCAACAGCGTTCCTTCTGGCATATTCTTCCAATGTCTGTTTGCTCTACCTGAAAATTGAACAAGCCATGTCTAATACATTATTTCTTTACTTTCTGACATGGAGTTACTTTACCAAGAACTAAAAGGTTCTTAGAAGTGTATACAAGTCTCTTGCAACAGAATTGCCTATGAAATTACACCTATACCTTTATATATTGAGTGTAAATGACATGATCCGCCAAATTAGAAAAAAAAAACAAACAATTTTCCAGTGCATATGGGACAAATTTTCTAACTCTGAGTGTATGAAGTTAGGTATCTAAATGGACGTACTTGCCTATGATCCATAGCTCCCCTAGATCTCAGTAAGAAAGATATGGAGCTAGTTTCTTAACAAAATTAGGCTATTTGATTCTTGTATCTAGCAACTTGGCAAAATGTGTTGCTATTACTATTCAAAGATTTTTAGGTCTGTATGCTTGGTGGGAACAGTGGTGGGAAGCCTCCAGTGAAATGTTCTGCAGCAACTACAGTTAATTTAGCAGTCTGTAAGTGGAATCGTGTCCAAACTTTTGCATTTCAAATGAGGTTGTCATTCTAGTCCTACAACAGGGTTAGTGTCCAGATGGAAATAAGCTTCTAAGCTATAAGGTATTTTTACTTACAGGTATCAAGAGACACCATGGATATGAACAACGTAAGCCAGCACTACAAAGCGGATAGTCACTACTACCAAACTGAGACCACTGAAGGCTGAAGGACTGGTACCTGAGAATACGTGAAATTCCCACTGATATGAGACAGAACTGTGCCTCAATCCCTGCAGGCAAGAGACTGTAAAATGACTTGACCTGTGAGTCATGAAGTTAACAGGGCAAACACAAGGCATAGAACCAACGTGGCTGGTTCCTCAGTCTGCTGTTACTCAGCATATGACACTGCTTGCCTTCACACTGCCTGCCTCTACTTTTGGCTTAATCGCTAAGATTTTTTGGTGAGATTTCTTTTTGTGGACTGCAATAAAAGAGATAAAAGATCAAGCTCCACTTTTCCCTTACACGATTATGTTTACATATACATATTATAAAGTGGTCTTAATAGGAAAGGTATAAAAGAATGAATCAGAGAAAAGAGACCCTAGTGTAACATCTATTACATCTTTTACAAGTACTCAGATTTTACAGGGCTGCCTTTAATGGATTTTTACATACGCACAAAGACATTTCAACTGTACTAAAATGAAAGGTGTTATATTTTATTCAAACTTCAGAATGAGTTTTTACGATGACTTTGTATTTTTTATTAGCTAAATGGATACGTATTCAATAATGTTACAGTTTAATTCTTAAAACATCAGCAAACATATTATCTAAGCTAAGTTACACAATTTCCTGCTTATAAGTATAGTGAAGCTTGACAGAAATCTCAGCTGGCACTGTAAAGTGAATAAACATGACATTACCACTTGCCAATAAACTGAGAGCTGAATTCTAGGATAGGAAACTAGGATTAGGCATGCTAACCTCAAACACTGAAAATATAGGAAGACAATCCTGGTTTTAGCATTAAATTCTTCAGAGATGGAAAGATACGTATTAGTGGTATTTGTGAAATTAAATGAGCTCTTTTAAGTATTAAGTACTGGGATGATAACACTTTCTTCCAGATGTTTCTTCTAAAGTTGTTTATATATACATTCCAATATGAACAATTACTTTAAAAATCAGTGAGTATTTATTTAATTTCATGAAGGACTCTTTTTTTTTTTCCCACAAAAATATTCATGCAATACATTTTATTTTCTCGAGATCTCCAGTAAGAATCCTTTTTTTGGAAAGGACTTTTTCACATGCAATACATCCTCAGAAGACTCTAGATGGAAGTGAAGGTTCTCACATGGACTGAGTTATTCACTAATTACTTTTATATCTAATCTCTATATTGGTACTGTAATGAAGCAGAATTTCCTGGGGAGGCCCCCAAGGGGATGTGCTCAGGTGGGCGCTAACTCAGGAATCCTGCAGAACTTATGATTATTAAAAAACGATTTTGCTGCCTAAGCCAACGGTAACAACTTCTTCACCTCAGTGCTCAGAAAGCAGTGGGTCCAAGTCTGTGCCAGCTAAAACAACGCTGGCTGCAGTGTCCCTGCCAAAGCACCATGGGAGCTCAAAGGGGAAGGAGGAGAAAAAAAGTGATACCAAATAATGGGAAAGGACAAGAAAGGGCATTGCACACACACAAAAAGATAAGCAAACAAAACAAAAAAGTAGGGAAGCACAAAACCACAGGTGACAAGAAGCACGCTCTCCTGAAAAAGTTGACACAGTGGGAGAAGATGGATACAGCTGTGATAATATCGAAGAACTGTAAACAACCAGCCTAATGTTGAAAATAATAAAGTTCAGAGCATAGTTTGATATAATTATTCATTCTTCGAACTGCAACAGCATGTAAAAAATACAGCCTTGGATCAGAAATCCATCATGTTACTGCAAACACAGAATAAATACATATCATCTGTCCTTGTAGTGTGCCTGCAGTGTTTTTTCTGGGAGGGACAGTTATGGTGCTTTACACATCTCCAAAGTGTAGACAGATTTTGTCCAAGACAATCTAAAAAATAATTTTAAGCTCTGTAATTTAAACTAAAGTAAATAACTATGTGGTAATTTCATCAGGCCAATGTGCTAATTTCACTCAGGCCAACACAGACCAAGGCTCTGCAGCTGGCCCACAGCCACAGAAGAGACAGCATGCAGCCTGGTGGGAAAGTGCATCTGCAAATATACTACACTGGTGAAAGTGTGCATGTGCTGATGAAAGTCAACCTAAATTGGAAGCTTGTTGTACCACAGCTATATTGATCATGACAGTAAAACTTCAGCAAATGCTGATTGAAAATTTAAAAAGCTGGTATGAATGCATGAATTGTTATCTGCTATGTGTGGTTTAGATACTCGGTGTACTCTTTTTTCAAAGGTAGAGCTAAGAAGCCAGAATAGGTTTTATGGTGTTTTTTTTTGATTGCATGTTAGCTAATTACTTTCACTACTACGCATTCCCATCGTAGAATGAGCAAATGATTTTCACTAAGTAACACTTTAAGCTACTAAAAGTCTCAAACTTATTTTAAGCTCTTGCACGTCTTTAAGAGCATTATTTCAGGAAAATGAGAGGAATAAGTAAACACCAGTAAACATCTCATCATACAGAGAAAGCTGTAAGCAATAGGAGAGACACTGCCCAAAATCTTGTATGTCCTAAGGCAGACATTTCTGGAATGGTAAGCATTGATGGAGTGCTCAGGCAGTAACTGATGGGTGAATTAGATAGCTGTAAATGATCAGAAGATGAGGCATGCAGTAGAAGTCAGCCAACTGATAGGAAAAACAAAAAAACAAAAAACAAAACAAAACAAAACAAACAAAAAAAAAAACAAAAAAAAACCAAAAAACAAACAAAAAAAAAACAAACAGCATAAAGACCTGGGTATGTAAACACAAGGGGGAGCAGAGAGACAATTCCTATTACATAGGAAAGCTGGGGGAGTTCTGACAGAAGCACTGCCACCTGTGTTCCACGCTACAGAAAAGCAAGAGCACACAAAACCAAACAGGTAAATGATAATTTTCTCCTCTTAGGATAATTTACTGGGAGAAGGCATCCCTGCAAAAGGGCAACTATCTGACAATTTAATTCCAGAATAACAACATTTTTGGTGGCAAAGCCAGTATAGCAGTCAAGTTCCAAATATTGGTCACGGAGATACCAACTTTTTGGTGAAGACAAACAACAATTTACAGCAGAGGTCATGGAGTATTTATGACTGACAGACACATGTTCTTGGAATTACATAGACTGAGGTAGTATCAGAAAATTGCAGAACAATGTCAACCTTGTATGAGAGGAGAAATTTGTTTCCATTCATTTCATTGCAGTACCAGGTAAGAACACCCCTTTTTAGCTACCTTACCTCATCAAGACATCTTTCATACTGTTCTCTCTGATTTTCGTTTTCCAGAGCCAGTGCTGAATTCTCTGCCTACAATAAAATACAATAAACAAATAAATAGGTATTTTGAATTACAGGCCAATTCATAAATTTTCTTAAGGTGAGTGCTTTGTGTGCTTCTTCAAGATCCAAAATAAAAAGCACGATACAATTTGTTTGAGTAAAAATAGTTTCTGAAATTATTCACACCATGCATTACAATTTAGAACAAAATACCAGCAGAAGTATGTCTACAGTCTCATCTTGCCAGGTGCAACAGAGTCTGCAATGAAACATTATAAAAGATCTTCATATATCTTTCTTTCTCCCTTTTTTATTCTTAGAGTGAACTTGCTGCCTGAGAAAGCCACTTGGAAGCGAACAGAAGCAGCTACTATCAAAAGGTAATGACGGGCAATCTTATGTAAACATTTACTCATGGCAGCTTTTCATAAGCCAGGTTTCTGCATCGAGTAACTCCAGATGCACTGACACGTAATAAATAATTGGTAAATTACACCCTTTAGCAAAACCAGAGAAATTTATTAATCTTTACCTTAAAAAAGCTACCATCACTTCAAGAATACAAGTGGTATTTTAGTACCTCTAAATGCAATCTTAAAGTCAGAAATTTTTTCTCTAGTGTATGTCAATTTAAATATGATAAAGTTTTCTGTACAGTAGTGCCTTTTATCTATCTTTAATTTCCATTACACTCGTATTTTTGCATAGTGCAAACTTCAGAATAGCAGAATCTGGTACATAAATTAAAGGAAATCAATGCATTTTTCTATATATTATGACTTGGACTTTAGGAATACTGTCAGTGTTAGAAAAGGAAAATCTCTTAAGTGAGATGTATACAGCTGCATCAGAACAAGTTTCAACTAGTTTTCTTTTAAAGACTGAGAAACTAAAACAATATATAAAAAGCTGTGAGTTAAAATAGGCTCCAGAAAGCTCTTTGCCTCCCCTGTATAACTTCTCATCACGTAACCATAACACCACAATCACTGCATTCAGATAATTACAACTATTATACAATTTACATTACTCGCTTCACTATAACTGTTCTGTCAATCTTTAAAAGTTTAACAAGTGCTGTTTCAGAAGCGTCATGGTTATATAATACAACACTCATAAATATGGTTAATGCATAATATTAGGAGAAAAAATAATGCAATGGACTGCACGGAAAGAGTCTACAGAAAGATGCACAGTTATCACTTCTGTGTTAAGAAAGGTCAATGTTTCAGCAAAATGAAAAGCCCTAAGTCCAATAAATTGATTTGTGGTCACTGTGGTCACAGTCCAAGCCAGCAAAGGTGGTAAAATGCTCAGCATAATATTTTCACAGTGCTTCCTCCCAATGGATTCAACATATGGCTATAAAAATTCTGTGGGTGATCCTGCAGGGAACAATGTAAGACGAGGGAACAAAAAATACAGATGCAGAAGTAGCAAGGTAGAAGTAGCAGAAGCCACAAAAAGCAAGAGCAGCAGTAAGAAATTAGGAGCTGGAGGGTAAATAGTCCTCCTCCGCACTGAAGACGCTATCACATACAGTTATCAGTTTGCTTTTACAGATGCATTCCTGCAGATTGATTGATAAAATAAAGAGACGATTGCTATATAAAAAGGTATTTCTATGAGTTAAAGATCTTCAGATGTTTTCTCTACGACTATCACCTTAAAATGTCATCCAAGATAAATTCTTACTGTTTTGAAACTCTCATTAAAGGATTAGTCTGCATGGCCGTTTAACTCACCCATGTGGTGTACCTATGGGTTTAATTTTTGGAATTTTCATTTTCCATAATGTGAAAATATACTGTGTGATTTTATCCTAGAACAGTCTGAGCAGATTGCTTCCATATAGAGATGTCTAAAAGACCTACTACCTGCAGTTGTACTATACAAAATACCCAGAGAAGTCCCCATTATTTCTTAGTCCTTTTTTCCTTTGAATGCTGTGAGGTTTTAAAATGGAAGCTAAGCCTTCCTGGCTCTGTTAGCTGAATCTCTGATTTCAGTGAGCTATCCCTTTACAAACAGGCTACCAAAATTAGGAAATCTGAACTTGACAGCATTATAAATAAATGGTACATTTTTCCTCTTATCAAGCCATAGTGGAAACATCTGTATAATAAAATGCTTTTCACACCAGTAGCTCTGAAAGTGCAGAGAAAGGATGTAATGCAGCCAATGTTAGCTTGACTTCTGTGCTTCTTGATTGCTGAGCAAATCATGCCCATTTATTTGGCATTTTTGTAATGAGGACTGGACTAGAAGGGAACACTTGACCGACTTTGCTTAAGATTTTGCGCCACTTCCCACAACGTGGGAAAACCAGGACT